AATCTAAAATTTGTAAATCGTAAAGTTGGGTCATGCATTATGATGAAGGTTCATGCAATGAAGGCTGAAAAAATATTGAGATAAACACTGTTGTTTTGGAAGAAGTGTTGGAAGTATGCCCACAAAGCCACTCATTTGATGTAATAGCTTTTGGAATACTTATTGTGTTAAACTATTATATGTTTAATGAAGGGCAAAGCTTATTGTTAATCACTATTTATTGTATTATGTGTTTAAGCAATAAGGGAATCCAAGGAATGTATTTAATCTAAGAGAGAAGTGATCTAAGTAAGTTAAATTAACGAGACATTTCTCTTATGTTCATTCCTAAAACGTTCCTAGCCATAAGATTGCCAATTAGGCATTGGCAATCCGCTAAGGTTAGTATGTGTTATGATAACTTAAGTGTAAGTATGACTAGTCTCAAGTCATTTAGTGTTGGACACTGAGACAAACACATAGGTGCTCAAAATGGTAATCGAGTACACTGAACTACAATCAAAATAGAGTTCGAACATACATGTCTTATAAGAACTCGTAAGTTGCAAAATGCAAAGTAGTCCTTGATCTTTGATCATGTCAAGGGCATTCCATCGAGAGTGTCCACGACATTGTTAGGGTCAAGCTATCTAGTCATGTAGGTATATGAATGCACAACAAAGGATCTCTAACCTTCCATGGTGGAAGGAGAATACTTTGAGATATGATTCGGGAGTCTTTGGCCAAAACATACGAATATGACTTAGGAAGTTTGTTCCAAATCATATTCAATTGAATCATATAGAGAAGTATCACATTGGATAGTAGACATGAAACAAACTATCACTTAAACAATGTGATTAAGAGTATTGTATTAGAGAATGACTGTATTGCATTGTAATTGTAACTGGATAGATTCTCCAACCACTTCTACTTAGCTTGGGTAGCCATGACATACTCCTAGGTGTCACTCATGGTTTGTGGAAGCCCTGAAGATTAGCAAACACTAATCTTGATCAAAGGGAGAATTGAAATGTAGTTTCAATTCACAATCGATCGTTAAGGATAACAATCGCCCACTGCCTTGCTAATTGGAACATAATGGATCGTACACCGAGTAATGATGAAAGTGAAGAAATATAAATGAGATGGATAAGCAATTAAATGGTTTAATTAAGAATGGTCAAGATTAATTAATTAGTTAATTAATTATACGATAGGTTCGTATCAGGCTTTCAAGTTAGTTTTGGGTCTCGGGGCCCAAAAGGGTTTTGGTCCAGAAGGCCCATTATGTTTAAGTTGTATGACAACTAAAATAAAATGGGCAAATAGCCCAATAACTAAAGGATGGCCGGCCATAGGGTGAGTGGTAGTGAACTTGGCATAATTGCAAGTTTGCCACTCAAATGTGAGGTGCTATAAAAGGAACTTTATAGCTTTATCACATCAAGGGTTTTCTTTGAGGCAAAAGAGCAAAACTCTTTCTTTCTTTGTCTTCCAAAGAGGTCAGCCACACTTAGAGAAAAATAGCTAGCAATCTTCCTTCCTCCAAGTCATCCATTTCATCTTCACACCTCATCCTTGGTGTGGAGACTTAGAGACACCAAACTTTTGGTGTTCTTGGAGTTCCTCTCCTCAAATCCTCAAGGAGCAAAGGAGAAGCAAAGAAGCAACCATCCAAGGAGCAAATGAGGTGACTTGAAGGCCCTCCACTTGGGTGAATCCCTTATGTAAACAAGGATGAGCTTCAAGGGCAATGAAACTCAAACTCTCTCTTCTCTTTAAGTTGTTAAAGAGTCTTTTGGTTCACCATTCACTAGGCTTTAAAAGTCATGGGTTTTAGAATTGTTTTTTAATGCATGCCTACTTTAAAGTGTTATTAGTTTGCTTATGTGTTTAAATGTTCTCACATGTTTTTAGCTAGGACAAATTTTTTCCTTCAAGAATCTGGATTGCATGATTAATATTGTGAACGGGTTGTGTCTTCAATTTCGGTTTTCCATCTCCAAAGCTTGTATCATGTTCAACACAAAAAATTGTAAATTGAATCAATAAAAGTATATGAATTCAATAAAATCAAAATTAATCAATTAAAAATAATTGAAACGATACTCCCCTGATTGAAGACGAATAAATTCTCTTTAGCATAACATGAAGAGTATGCTAATAACGTGTTGTGGCCTATATTTAACTGAGGGTGTGGAGTAGAGAAAGAATGTAGAGAATAGGCTTGAGAAATTGTGTGTTAATTCCCAAGTTCTTGTACCTTTATTTATAGTGATAAGGAGGTGAGAAACTTACTCTCCAAGTAATACAAAGTCTATTATGAAATATCTTCTAGATCCCAAAAGATTCTTAATCTATCTCTACCTAGGATTTACACAATCACAATATATATTAGAATATATATCACGACATCTTATTTAATCTCGAACTATTTATCAATATAGCCAAAAATTAACCCTTAATTTAAAAAATGTCACTTTTTATAAATCTTTCAAATATCTCCAAAATTCCATCTAAATAGACACAAATACCCTCAAATTTAACAATCAAATAAATGGGTAAATATCAGTTTACTACCCTTAAGTTTTGTGGTTTTCAACATTTAATACATGAAGTTTTTTTCATCCCAGAGTTATACCTAAAGTGTTAATTTTGGGACAGTCTCATACATCTGTTAAGTTTTCTATTAGAACTTCTATTAACTGATGATATGGCATCCACATGGACAATTAATGGACTCCACATGTCAATATGGACCCACTTCAATATTAAAAAATTAAAAAAAAAAAAACCACATCATCTTCTATCACCCTCCAACTCGTCCCTTCCTTCTTTCCTCTGCAACCCCCACCCACCCTCCCTCCCTTGTCTCCTCTGCAACCCGCACTAACCACCTCGCACCAAAATTTTGATTGGGGAATTGGTGGAAAGAATGAGATACACAGACCAAGATTTTGGTTCTGATTTTGATTTGGATGGAGAGCTCGAGGATGCTTCTAATTTGATCGACAGAGATAGCGAGGAGGATGATGATAATTTTGTTCGGACACAAATTTAGCAAAACAAAACTAAAAAAAATCGAATTCATCAAAGTGCAAACCACAACCCAAAACCCTACCACTTAAAGAGCAATTCGCATAAGTGCTTAATCAACCACTTCAAACAATTGAAATAAAAAATCAAGCAGCATATGAACCTCACCTACACCACAGTCTGTATAAGAAGCCTTCCTTCGAGTCCGAACAAAACACCTCGTAATTACCAAAAACGACACCGAATCAAAGAATCCCAATTAGCAGCAATCAAAAGCTCCAGTAAGCTCGGAGCAAGCAATGGTCGCAGTGGCGGAAAGAATGCGCGAACGTGCGTGGCAATGGCGGAAGCGGAAACCCTAGAACGGAAAGGGAGAGAGAATCCCACTTTTCAGTTTCGTTTATTTTTTTTTTTTTTGGAGTGAGATTTGAAATTGGAAAATGATGGTTTGAGTGTGCATGGGTTTTCTGCTGCTCCGACTCTGAGAGGGAGAAGAAAAAAAGGAAAAGAGGGAGAGAAGGAAAGATGAGGGTGATGATAATTTGGGGGGGGGGTTAGGGTTAAGGTTCTGTTGATGCTATGATTTTGATTTGGTAGGTGGGCGGGGCCATTGGTGCGAGGTGGGTGGTGCGGGTTGCAGATGAGATGAGGGAGAGTGGGTGGTGTGGGTTGCAAAGGAGAGAAGGGAGGGAGGGTGGGTGGGGGTTGCAGAAGAGAGAGAAGAGAGGGTGGGGGTTGCATAGGAAAGAAGGAAGAGACGGGTTGGGGGGAGGTAGAAGATGATGTGGTTTTTTTTTTTTTTTTTGAAGTGGGCCCATATTGACACGTGGCGTCTAGTAATTGTCCACGTGGGTGCCACATTATCAGTTAACATAAGTTCTAACGGAAAACTTAACAGATGTATGAGACTGTCCCAAAATTAATACTTTAGGTATGACTCTGAGACAAAAAAAACTTCTTGTACTAAATGTTGAAAACCACGAAACTTGAAGGTAGTAAACTGATATTTACCCCAAATAAATTAAAGACTTTTTAGCCAAAATGATTCGTGACATTGACATAACTCCTTAATCTGGTCCTTAACAATTAATGATAATCAATAGTAATGTTCCTGAATTTGTTTATCGTGAATCATTTTAGTCTTTCTTTGAATTTGTCCATCGTGATCATTTTAGTTTTTTCGTGAAAAATCTGTCAATTGCTTTGTTAGTATGATGATGTGGTGCCACGTGGGTCTCACAAATACAATCATATAACAACATGTGGATTACCTTTAAAAACTATTTTTATATTTAAAACTAAAAATGATATTAGTAAGAAAAAAGGCGTTGAAGGCATGATTGAAATTCTGCTGCTCCCACTTGCGATAATCGCGGCGGCGCTCAATGTCAGTGATGAGGGGGTCGAAGGGGATAGGGTTGTGGTGGTGGAGTGTAGAAGCGTAAGTGAAGTTGAGGGTATTTATATCTATTTAAGTAAAATTTTGAATATATTTAAATTTTTTTATAAAAAATGATATTTTTAAAATTAAAGGTTAATTTTTTACTATGTTTGATAAATACTCATTTTAGACCCACCCCCAAGTCGTCGACGACACTCGACAGTAAGGGGTGGTTTGGGAGTGAGGTGCTTAAAAAAAAAGCACCCATGAAAAAAAGCTGTGAGGGTTTTAGGTGTTTGGTAAACTGAAAAAAAAGGGCTTATTTTGGAAGCTGCTGTGAGAATAAGCTGAAATCAAAGGAAAAAGCTGAAGCTGCTATTTGTAGCTTTGGAAAACTGGCTTTTTTTCAAAGCACACGGAGCTACAGTGCTCCTTTAATGAAAAGAACTCACTATCAGACTGCTTTTTTTTTCAAAAGCACTTTTACAAAAAAGTTTACCAAACACTCTGCTGATTTTTTTCACAGCCGCTTATTCTCACAGCACAGCCGCTTATTCTCACAGCAGCTTTTTTTCAAAGCACAGCAATATCAAACCAGCCCTAAGTATCACAAAGACACGAGGGAGAACAAGCAAAGCGAGCGAGAAAAAAGAAGGGGTGTGATACACACCCCTCTTTTACTCTCACACACCTTTCTAATTTTCGGTCACCAGATCGAATGAATTGAAGAAGATCAACGGACATAAATTAAGAAAGGGTGTTATAGAAGTAAAAAGGGTGTGTGGATAGCACACCCAAAAAGAAAAGCAGCAAACCGGGAACAACTCAAATCCCTGAGCTGAAAAATGGAAGTGGAGGTCGACGATAAGGAGCTGAAAGCCGCCGGAGCCGAGCCTTTGACCGACGGGCGATACGGCCTCCGTATCCATGTCTGGGACATCGAGTCCCGCAAGCGCTCAATTCTCAGCTCCTCCAATACCGAACTGTACGCTCTTGGATTCGAATTGGGAATTCAATTGAAGCCCTTCAATTTTGAATTTTTGCAAGGTTTGTGTGGTGTTAGAGATTTTTGGTGATGTGGGTTGTTGCAGGTGGGAGCAAAAGCTACATACTTGTCACTTGCCGGAGATGGTGTTTGGGGACAGTGGATTGTTCCTGGAGCATGTGAAGAGCGGCGCCACGATTCACTTCAATTCGTTTGATGCTCTGGTGGGGTGGAAGAAGGAAGCTTTGCCGCCGGTTGAAGTCCCAGCTGCTGCTCAATGGAAATTCCGAACGTAAGGATAGAAATATGTCTCGACTAGTTCTCTCTAATTTATGTTATGATTTAAACTCCAGTTGAATCCTGTTGGTCATGAATCTGAATTATTGGTTTTGGGAGGGAGATTTATGGACATTTTGAATCTTTTCGATAACTTGCTTGAGGGATGGAGTATGTTTTTCATTTTATTTTATTTTTATTTTTATTTTTTACTGCTAGAGATATTGGTTACCTTCCTTTTTTCTGAATTTGCAGTAAACCTTCCCAGCAAGTTATAATGGACAATGATTATACATTCACAACGCCTTACTCTGGAAGTGAAACTCTTTAAGTTTGATGCAGACAAGGTGCATATTTTCTCTTTATCTATAATTGAGCATTTTCAAAAAAAAAAAAAAAAAAATCTCTGTTTTGTTATCATTTTGTGCCTGAAGTTGGGACATGCCATGAGTACTTGGCCATTGACCAGGCTTCTCCTAGACATCGGCTAAGCGAATGCTATTTGTTTTGAGTCCCACTCCATTCGTATGCATTCCGTTCTTCTTCTTTTTTTTTCCGTTCTCTTGCAACTTATCTTTGTATAATAGAAGGAACAAAAAAAGGGCTCTGATAACATGTAAAACTTACTACTCAGTGTTTCACTTTAATTGCATACACCAAACAATCGTGGGATGCATGGAATAACTGATAAGGATAAGGAGTTTGAACTAAAATCAAACTCCTCAAGTTGCGGTGATGCCCTCAGCATGCTGACTTTGTCTAATAGGAACTACTGGGCTTTCCGTGATTTTTTTTTTTTTTGTTGTTATGTTTATATGCCAGTGATACAACATATTTAATTTTTGTTTTATGTAGCAGATTGAAAGAGGAGAGATCTCTAAGGAGACCAGAAATCTCCAATGGGAGGACTGAAGAAAAAATTGATGTAGTTGCATTGGCTTCGAAAGAGCCTATTCTCTTTTATGATGAGGTGGGCATCCTGGCTGATAACTAGAACATTCGTAGGCCGTGCCTGTGCAGATATATGTGTTTACCTGCACTCTCTTCCTTGTATGTATACCTGCCATGACCAAAGTCATCCTTGTGCAGGTAGTTTTGTATGAAGATGAATTGGCTGATATTGGAGTGTCACTTTTAACAGTAAAAGTTGTAAGTCTTTGATCGCTATTGTCTGTTGTGTCTTAATATACTTTTCCAACAATATGAGGATGGTTGGAAGGACTTATCATGTTACATCTTGATTTTCTAGAGAGTCATGCCGACCTCTTGGTTTCTCCTCTTGTGATTTTGGGTGAGTTAATTTCTCTCAATTCACTTCTGTCCCCCGCCTCCCCCCAAATAGATATTAGCCAAACACGATTTATCAATTTATATTTTGTGTAGATAATCGTTTTGGAACAAGATCTTAACTGGTTAGCTCTGGGGCTTATTTAAGAAATATTCTAAACTAATTATATTGACAATACCAAGCTCTTTGGAAACTTTGTGACTTACTAATTGAGATCTTCTTACAGCTTAGAGTTGATGGGGCGCTAATGAGACTACGGGACACTCGAATGCATTGTTCTTTTAGTGATGATGCAAATCCCATTATTCTTCGAGAAAGGTGCTGGAGAGAAGCCACATTTCAGGCTTTATCTGCAGTAAGTTCAAATCCGTTGTTGCACACAAATTATGATACTACCTTTCTTTCTGCAAAACACCATCTCACATAAATTAGTTGTTTTGTTTACTCTCGGAAGTCAAAGAGATGCTCGTGAGCCTCCCCTACTTCCCAAAACCCTAAACCCAACTTCCCCATAATTATTAAGTGTAACTTATTAAAAATGGACACGCGTTTTCTGCTCTTCAAATTTGAAAAGGGTTTGTCAACTAAAAAGATATCAGCAAACGCCATCAAGAAGTTTTTTCAGTGTATCAAGTAATTTTTTTCTAAATTTGATTTCTATCTTTCCGTTAGGTGGGTTGCTTAAGAAATCCATCAAGGATCAATCATTCAGATTCTTCATTGGCAGATGGAGTTTATATCATACAATCCTTCCTGTTTCGAGCTTCCATGCATGATTAGATTTTGTCATGTGTTCATAAATAGCCGAAAACAAAAGTAACACTATCAAAATTTTTACAAGATAAGCAAAGTAACACTATCAAAAGTAACACTATCAAAATTCTGAACTAGGGATTTTATCCCGTTGACTTATGGATGAAATTGTCTTCATGTCAAGCTTTCATTCTTACTCAGCTAAGGAGCACGGATACGGCAGTGTTGTCATGTATCCCGTATCAGATACTTGATTGTATACGATATGCCTCGTATACGTATCTAGGTCAACAGATACAGCTTTGACGGACATGTATGGGTGTCAATCCCCTCATGGTACGGTGGATTCGGGTATCCGTCTGTTGTTTATGCATACAAAAACGACACCACAATCTTTCTTTTCTTGGGTTTAAATGGGGCCTAAAGCCCAACAACCAGAACAAAACCATAGCCCACCGGATGTAGACCACCACGTCCTACTTTTTTACAGTTTTATAACTAATCAAATTTTTATCTCACTAAAAGTATAATCTAAATATATATTTTTATTGCCGTATCGTATTCTAGTTTTTACAAATTAGTTGTCTCGCCATGTAATGTGGTATCGTATTTTACCATATATTCGTATTTGTATTAATGCTTCATGGCTACTCAGGTGCCTTGTGGTAATAAAAAGGAGTTAATATTTTTTTCGGTCATTCAAAGAAGTTAATATTTTGTCTTAAAGACTGAATATAATAGCAGCGGGAGAAAGTTTTTTTATGGTCTTCACTATGGGCTTCTGGTTTCTATAGATTTTATAACTCGTCTTTTTCAGTTTTAGGCTTGATTGGAAAGCTGTCTTTTTAGGGAACTTTATTTTGGCTTGCTGTGTGTTTTCTTATTTTTACCCTTGTGGACATCTTGTTCGGCGGATCCAGGATTTTAAACTTGAGAGGTCCCAATAATAAAGGTCAAAAAAATTTATAAATAAAAATAACATTGAAAAGATAATACATTTCATTCAAAGTGTATGGGAACTCATACTTTGTAGGCCTACAAGGTTCCATTTGCAAATATGCTCTTCAGACCTCATCTTAAATATTAGAAGGATAGTCCTTCATTCGAATTCTTTTTCCCAGGTCTCTCTCAAGATTATTAAAATCAATGTCACACTCATTTTGTCTTGAGCTCGAACTATCCGAACAAGTAAATGGTGCTATTGGCTTTGGCTTGAAAATTTTTTCCATATTTCTTATTCTAAACTACACATTTAACCAAAAACACAAAACAAATACCAATCAACCAATAAACAAAAATTCCATCCAAATTTCAATTATAAAATGAGTATACAAACATAAAACATATCAACAATCATATCAATAATAGACTAAAAATATCCACCAATATCTAATATAATTTAATTGAGATTAGATTAGAATACCAAAAAACTTAATTGAATTTTGAACCAAATAGTGATGGCTTGGAGAATTGAAACAAGTGAATGTATGATATTGAAGTAATGTAATTATAATACGGGATTGAGTGGGATTATAAATTTAGGGTTTTGGGTGAATATAGGAAAGATGGGGATTAGGGGGGGGAAAAGTAGAGGAACGGAACGGGGATAGGAAAGGGACTCTCTGGAAAGACGGCCCATGTGGGGCTAGGCATATAGAATCATGGACAATTGACAAACGGCACCGTTTGTCTCATTAGCTTTTAACAAAAACAAAAACAAAAAAGGCCAAAACACTACGTTTTGGACCAACTTTTTAAAAAACCCTGTTTTCTTTCTTCTCCCCCGCAACCCCGCTGTCTTCTTCTCTGTTGCAAGCTGCAAGCTGCAACCTGCAGCACAGACCTCGTGTTCTCGTCGAGGGGTCCCCCAGAAAAATTATAGCAGCATTTTAGGATCGCCGAGGGGTCCTGGGACCTCCCTGGTCCCTCTGTGGATCTGCCTCTGCACATGTATTTTTTTGCCGTGCACAATCCAGTTCTTTAACTGGTAGTTGTCTTCATTTCTGTTGTATCCTATAGACTTCAGATGGTTAGTTAACTGATTCTGAATAAACTAACCAATGCCATTTTTTTTTTTCGTCTGAAGGGTATTTGCTTTCCAACAGTTCCTACTAGTGACTTTATCATTCTTCCTCTTGTTGGCCCCTTTCTTAGTGGTAATGTCAAAAGAAACAAATTTTGTTTTGCGTAAAGTGTTTTCTTTTCTCATTTCTCAATTAAGTGGTGCTTACAATGATCCAAGCATCATCAGCCAAAGGCTTCCTGTGATCATGCGTATGACCCAAAAGCTAAAGGTACCTGGTAATATGTAAGGCTGTAAATTGTCTCCCTGCAAGAGTTCTTTTTACCTTTGTTGCTGGGTTCTATTGAATGTAAACTTTTCTTTTAACATCCACATATTTCCTTACTCTTTGTCATGTTTAATATGTTCTCTTAATAAGTTGGAAAAGAAGAGAGAGATATTTGCACTTTATGCAAAATTCCTCTGACTATCTTTATACAATGCTTCTATTATAATGCTGTTGATATCAGAAAGCAAAAGCGATAAAACATGAATTAGAAATATATTTGCAAAAGTGAAACTTTGATACGAGTCCATTTAGATCTTAGCTTAAACCCAAAAAAGCAGCTCATTTGGAAAGACCAATGCAGACTAGTCTAGAATGTCCACTTACAATTGCTCGCGTTTATATAGATCATTAATTCATACTCCGTGAGGAGTTCGAGATAAGCTTAAGCAGAAGTGGAACTAAATTATTATCTCATTTCTATTATCATAAGAATAATTTTAGCATCAGATTATATTTTAAGAAAGACGATGAAAACTGTGTACTCTGGTATTAAATACTAGTCAAGGGAATGATTTTTGCACACCTTTGTCTCCTTCTGCACACCCTTGTTTATTCCCATCCATTGATTCTCCCTTGCTCTATTCGATCGAAAGGCTAGGAATGAACGAGGGTGTTCATCGGGAGAAAAGGGGGTGTGCAAATCATTTTCCGTAAATCAATTGTAGGAAATGGTACAGGAAACCTGATGAACGAAGGGAATGCATGTAACAAGTAGGCATCACAAATAAATATTTTTGTATTTGACATATAGAAGTCCTTCTAGGAAAAGGGAAATTGGGATTTTTGATGTCTTCGAAAGCACCTTTGTCGGTACCTGGTAGGAAAGACTTCATTGGAAAGGTAGTGCTTGGGATCTCATTCTTTCTGTTTCTGGCAGGGTATCATGGAAATTTGTGTTTAGCCATCTATTTGGTTGGAAAACAAAAGTTAGGCAGCACATAGAGGCACTGAGGGTGGGGTTGGGAGAAGTAGCGCGCATGTTAAGAGCGGAAGAATTTCTTCATTCTCATATTTATCTGATTCATTGTGGAGGCTAAGGGAATAAAGTTGTATGAGTGCAAGACTCTTTTCTGTTTTGGATAATTGGGTTACAGTCTAGATGTGCAGTCTTGACCTTGGCTACAACCTACTGAAACTTCACATGCATACAAAATTTGTCACAAGTGTGTACTTTCAAATTCTCTGATTGTGTAGAGTTGGTAATATTATTATGCTTTGACCTTTCTCAAACCCTCAGGGATTTAGCTTTGAGTGGTAAAAGCTGGTTGGGTTGTGGTAGCACTTAGGCTAGTATCTTACTTTCAAATAAGAAAAAACATAGAAAAAAGATACAAGAAACTAGAAGTTGATAATGTTCAGGAGAAGAATAAGCAAACCTCAAAACAACTCAATTGCAATGAAACATAATACCCCTGAGATTATTGCATGCATCACTGATTAGGAAATAACTTTGATATTATAACATCCTTAAAACAGTAGGAACTTCTCAGTATCCTTCGTAGGTTCATTGGGTAGATAAACAGAGGAGGCCTCTAACCTACGCTAGCTATGTACTTGATAGATGAAATAGTTAACACCTACTAGATTTCATAAAAGAAAGTTCCAAACTAGGGTAGCGGGACGGGTGGATCAGAGTCGAAGGTTTAAGTCAAGCTTGGATGGCTCTGATTGTGGCTCTAATACTTGTGGATCCAAGCGGAAGCTGCCTGGCCACATAGAATCCATTACATCATCCAGTGTGAAGGGCATCGTGCCAAACCTTGCGTTGGCATCACTAAATCTTGCTACAAGTGAAGTTTCTTCTCTGCTTGGCTTGTGCACGAGTGAGTGGGGTTGAACGCTGAGTGATCTGACCGTAGAAGTAGTGAAGGGAAAACCCATCATCGACATCAGTCTTTGGGACTGGTATCTTCTTGCTGCACCTCTTTCTCTCTTGTGGGCATTCTGGTGACCCCCTAATGCCTGAGAGCTGAAGAACTTCCTCATGCAGAAGTTACAGGAGAAAACCTTGCCGGAAGCTGGTCTTGCCTGTGAGTCTATCTGTCCTTGTGCCGAAATGCTACCTAGGCTCAGGTTCAGCCACTCTCCTCGATTAAGATCTTCAGTTTCTTCTTTGTCATCGTTGCTGATCAGAAATCTGTTTTGCTCTTTATTTAATATGGTTTCACTCTCGGCTTCTCTCTGGGATATCATTTCTTTGACGAGTTTTTAAGGTTGTGCAGTATGTTGTAACAGGCTGATTGAAAAGTTAGATCAAAGAGGAAGAGAGATGAAAGAAATGGAAAGAAGCAGAAGAATGTAAAGTGGAGAAAGCATGTGTTTCATTTTATCCCGTCTCGATGAAGTGGGCCCCACCTTGTGATGCTTGGTGCTCCAGGGGACAATGCTGATGTCATCTTCAGTGTTGCCCTTGTAAAGCTTAGGATTCCCCACTTTCATCCCCCCCCCCCTTCTCTCTGTTCCTCAAATCCAAATGGCACCAACTTTATATTTCCTTTTGGACTTGTAACTGAAGAGTTACAGTTGACAGTATCCATCAACAACTCTTCTCATCACTCAGTCAAAAACATTATTCTAAATTTTTATCTCAAGTGCCTGCCACTTTTGCTTCTTATCCACCAAGTATCAAACTCTTCTTATTCTCAGTAGGATTCTGTAGGTTATGGAGAATGAATTGACAAATGGAAAAGCCACTTCTGGAATAATCTGCAGGGGCATCAGCAGTAACTCAGTACTTCACCTTACTTTGTTTTCGAAACACAATGGCCTATAGCCAAGTTGGTTAGCTAATCTGCTTTGGGGTGTGCTATCCACACATCTCATTTTACTTCTCACACACCCTTTGATAATTTCTGTCCGTTGATCTTCTTCAATTCATCCGATCCGACGGCCGAAATTTAAAAAGGAGTGTGAGAAGTAAGGATATCACACCCCATCTGCTTTTCTCTTCTGCGCTCATGTTTGAATCCATCTTCTCGTTAGATTGGAATAACCCCTTCATGTCAAGTAGGTATGAAATGCATTGAAGATAGGGAACCAAGCTACCAATAAAATATGGAAATGCTGAGAGAGTGGGAGATGAGTGAACGATAAGCTTCAGATAGATGAATGCAGCTAAAAAATAGATTAGTGACTGTCATGGAAGTGGGGGTAGAATTACCCTTGTTTTGATTGCCTACTGATTTGATTTTTTTATTTTTTTGTGGTGGGGTAGATTAGGGCCCACATAATTGGCAATAATGGTTTTAAAAAGTAAGCAAATAGAAAACCAGATAGATTGGTATCTTGGGTAGCAAAGTTTTTGGTGTTTCCGTTTGGGACAATAGTATCTATGTGGATAGGTCTGACAATTCCTGACACGGCATGATAACCCAACACGACACGACACAACACGAAATTAATAGGTGTTCGGGTCAACACGATAATGAATCGGGTCATTATCGGGTAACCTGATAAACACCTGTTAAGATAACGGGTTGGTTCAGGTATACACGTGGGTAACACGATACACGATAAACAAAATATTAATTTATTAATTTTATAACCCTAAAAAAATACTATAATAATTATATATATTAATTTAACAATTTTATACCCTTAAAATGTGACATTCCACATTGCTCAGGGGAGTGGATCCTGTAAGCCTTATATGTATATTCTTATCTCTACCTAGCATGAGGTTTTTTGGGAGCTCACTGGCTTCGGGTTCCATCGGAACTTTGAAGTTAAGCGAGTTCGAGCGAGAGCATTCCTAAGATGGGTGACCCATTAGGAAGTTATCATGTGAGTTCCCAGAAACAAAACCGTAAGGGCGTGGTCGGGGTCCAAAACGAACAATATCATGCTACGGCGGAGTCGAGCTCGGAATGTTGTGGGGGCCCGGGCTGAGATGTGACAATTTGGTATCAGAGCCAATCCCTGGCTGGAAGTGTGCCGACGAGGATGTCGGGCCCCTAAAGGGGATGGATTGTGACATCCCACATCGCCTATGGGAGTGGATCATGTAAGACTTATATGTATATTCTCATCTCTACCTAGCACGAGGCTTTTTGGGAGCTCACTGACTTCTGGTTCCACCGGAACTCCGAAGTTAAGCGAGTTTGCGCGAGAACATTCTTAGGATAGGTGACCCACTGGGAAATTCTCGTGTGAGTTCCTAGAAACAAAACCATGAGGGCGTGGTTGGGGCCCAAAGCGGACAATATCATGCTACGGCGGAGTCGAGTCCGGGATGTGGTAGGGGCTCAAGCCGGGATGTGACATAAAAACTATAATAATTATATATATATATATATATATCAATATTAAAATTGGTGACCATTGAATCGGCTTAAATATACATATCATTCAATTTCCTAAGTGTTATACGTACAAAATAAATAAATTTAATATATATATACACACCATTGAACTTAATGAGATACGAATTCTACAAAACTAATTTCAACAATCCAACCGTCAAACTTGTTTGTATATGTTTCAAGATCGCATCAGCAAAAAATCGAAAAAGACAAACATTCAGAGATCAAGTAATGGAACAAAACTTTTCGACAGTTATCAATGAAAAATCACGATTTAACGGTTATTTTAACTTCTATTTTGGTGATTTTTTACAGCTACACTCCTTGATCCTATATGAATACAATGAATGAACTCGATCTTCAATTTAAAATATTTACACTAGTGGATACCACAAAATCTTATGTTATACTTAATGAAAGTATGAACAAACTCTTAAGTGTTAGGAATCTATTGTTTTGATGGGATACACATTCTACGAAACTAGTTTAAACGACCCAACCGTCAAACATGTTTGTATATACTTCAAAATCGCATACTCCAAAAATAGCAAAAAATAAACATTCAGAGATCAATTAACGGGACAAAATTTTTCGACAGTTATAAACGAAAAATCACGATTTGATAGTTATTTTAACTCCGATTTTGATGATTTTTTTATAGCTACACTCCTTGACCCTATATGAATACTATGAATGAATTCCATCTTCAATTTAAAATATTTACACTAGTGGATACCACAAAATCTTATGTTATACTTAATGAAAGTATAAATAAACTCCTAGTGTCAATGAATCTATCGTTTTGATGAGATACACATTCTACGAAACTAATTTCAACGATTCAATCGTTAAACTTGTTTGTATATGCTTCAAGAACGCATACGTAAAAAATCACAAAAAACAAACATTCAGAGATCAAGTAATGGGACAAAACTTTTCGATGGTTATCAACGAAAAATCACAATTTAACAGTTATTTTAACTCTGATTTTGATGATTTTTATAGCCACACTCCTTGACCCTATATGAATACAATGAATGAATTCGATCTTCAGTTTAAAATATTTACACTAGTAGATACCACAAAATCTTATATCATGACGATCGATGAAAATTGAGGATTTTGTAAAAGGAATAACATGCAAGCTTTGAGTTCCATTGGCAAGGTTTAAACTTTTGAGAAAGGCTTCACAACCTTGAAAACAAAAACTCTTTGATTTTGTATATCCTTGCACATTTAATATTTTGTAATAGACTAGTAGTATATGGATGTTTGTTTATTAGGCTCTTATTTTTTAGTGTAGATGTAATACTTAAACGACAAATGTGTTTTAATGTTTTGAAGTAATATTTATGTGGTAATGTGTGGTATGTGCAATTTTAAGAAGAAATTTTTTTTTTTTTCTTAATGGGTCATAACTGGTCGGATCACTTTACCTGTTGGTAAAGTGACCAGACCTGTTAAGGACCCATTAAGATAACGGGTGCGACACGACACGACCTGTTAAGATAACAGGTGTTACACGAAAACGACACGAACACGACAAACACGACCCGTTTGCCAGGCCTATATATGGGTGTGGGTGCCTTGCTGTTGGAACTTGTAGTGGTGTGTGTGTGTGGGTGTGGGTGCCTTGTTGTTGGAACTTGTAGTGGGGTGTGTGTGTGTGTGTGTGTGTTTGTAGAGGACGGATTCGTGGCACCACTTTTTTTACACAACTTTTGGCATAAGTTTTTGTAGGGTGCCCTCCATAATGTATTTTAACAACCTAAACCGTCTATCTTTTAGAATAGAAACCATTAAGACATTCATTTGTAGTGAAGAAAATTGGCGAATATGCTTTCACAAAGAAAACCTGAACCTTGAATT